GCATGATCATTTCCAAAGTTGAACCGTGGACGTGGTACATTCCCAAGCGTTTCGCCGGCATCGTCAGTGACTCGCCATTCGTAACACCATACAACAACTCGTCAGAGACAAGCGAAGCCGATCCTTTGACCAAACGTGTGCTAAACAATTGTGGTATCTCCCCTTCTGCCCTGGGTTATTCGGGTTTCCGGTATCATCCTATCATGCCTTCACAATTACAATTTTTACCGTGTTTATTTTGATGTAGTGTGGTGTGCTCCTTTAAGCGACATGGCACCTTCACACTCCAACTCTCGTTCTCACCCCCCCTCCTTCATCCTTGTGCAGGGAATGTTTATCATTGTCTGCTTTATTATTATGCAGTCCTCTTTCTTAGTCTTATTCCATTCTCTCTCTTGCTCCGTAAAATCCGTCTGCTCTACCACTTGTTTATCTATTTCACTCGACTCCTGCCACCACTTCTCCTTCTCGAGGCGCAAGCCTCTGAGTGTCATAGTCACCGCTTTGCTAGATGGACCACGTCTCTGGTACAACAGACCTACCGTCAGCCAATTAGCCCCGGTCCCCGCCATTTTTCCTGTTTCTATCCCTAATACCAATTATATGATTTGCCATGCTCTAGTCTCTTGTATGCCAACCCACAAATGTTGTGGTATAGCTTGTTTTGATTTGTTTCGATGTTGAACCACAACATTTGTGGGTTGGCACACAAGAAACTAGGGCATAGGAATTAATAGGCTTGGTATTATAGATAGGATAAAAACAGTGAAAGCTAGAGCTCATTAGCGAATAATAGTCGTGATTCAAGGATCACCTCTATTGTTAGCCAAATAACTTTAGTCTCTACTGCATCCTTCCAATTTCTATCTGTAATGCCATGTTCATCACTTCCTACGTCCTAGTCTGTTGTGTGCCAACCCACAATTGTCATGGTTCTACTTATTTTGCTAAGGCTCACTTAAGACGTCTCCTCTTGGCTTCTGATTCTTCCTTTCTCATCCCCTTGCGATATA